TGAGTAATATACCGGTATAAATAAAAAATAAAAATAAATTCGACGGGTTCGCGTACCGGGCAGGTCAAGAACAAGGAGTCGTACAACTCCCTGGTCAAGAACCACCTTTCCGCTTCCGTGGGACGCCACCACCCCATGATCAGGCGTCAGATGCGGCTCCTTAACTTAAACGGTGGGGGAGGATAGATCAGATCCACCAACCATAGGCCAAAGGCCTAAATCCCATTTGCCACATCCATGATTTACTCATGCCAGGCCACGAGTTCCCAATTAACTGTGGGTCGCAGCACGGTTGGAAAAATCCTTCCGCTTCCAAGCAGGACTTGAACCTGGTACCTCTCGTTCATTAATCATGGTCTTAGACCAACCCACTGTGCCTGCCTATGAGTAATATATAATAATCTTTATTTCAGGATTACCCAAAGGCTAACGCCTATCTGGGGGATCTCCTATTTGTGTATGTACTAGTAACATAGTTAAGGATGCGAGAGAAAGTGCGCAAAGTGAGTGTGAAATGTTGGTTTGAAAAAGGAATAATAAGAAACACAAGGAAAGAAAGTAAGACAGAAAAGAAAAGAACAATATAACATGATTGCAAGCCCGAAGAACACACCAATGCTGCATAAACTACCTACAGGCTATTGGCTAGGCCATTTTTCAAGGGACCAAAAAATGACATTGAAATTGCGGTCTGCAGACCCTGGTTAGAACTTTGTCATTTGAACGAAGATGATGTATGCTTCTATGATGAAGTTCTATCTCAGGCCCCTCAAGAGTGAATACGGGTGCTGGTGTGTTTCTTTGCCATGTAATGCGTCTCCAGGCACAGCACAGTGGGTTGGTCAAAGACCATGATTGAGATACGAGAGGTACCTGGTTCAAGTCCTGCCTGGGAGCGGTTTTTCCAGCCGTGCTGCTACCCACAGTCAACTGGGAACTTGTGGCCAGGCACAAGGGGTACATGGATGCAGCTAATGGGGCCGTTCTCGGCACTTGTGCCAGTGGTTGTGAGACTTATCCACTCACCCCCACCGTTAGGCGCTGCATCTGCCGCTAGGATTTACCGGGTGTTAGCGGCCGTCGTGAGTTCCCTTCGGGAACGGACACGATAATTTACTTTTTTTTACTTTTAATGCGTCTCCCACTGGTGATGACAGACAATGCATTGATGTTGTTTCGTTCCAAACCGTGGAGGCCACCACGACCCCATCAAGAACCGGACACCGACGAACGCTTCTGGAAGTGTTTCCACATCGGTGGAGAGTCAAAGGAAAGCATCGATGTCTACACACATCTGCAATGAGATGATAGCCTTGTTCGATTGTAGAGTTGTATTATTTGCACTTCTACAGTGTATCGTGTAGTGGATGGACCTTTTTGTGACGGCTACACATTATCCGATCTACACATTATCCGATCTACACATTATCCGATCTACACATTATCCGATCACGAAGGTCACTTGAAAACCGTGCAGGGCGTGTATAGTTCGTTATGAAAACAACTTGAACCTCGACCAGTTGCGGTGTAGTATATGATACATACCCAATCATTGCGGGACGGGGCCGGGGGGGGGGGGGCGAACGAGTGAGTGAGTGAGAGAGAGAGAGAGAGAGAGAGAGAGAGAGAGAGAGAGAGAGAGAGAGAGAGAGAGAGAGAGAGAGAGAGAGAGAGAGAGAGAGAGAGAGAGAGAGAGAGAGAGAGAGAGAGAGAGAGAGAGAGAGAGAGAGAGAGAGAGAGAGAGAGAGAGAGAGAGAGAGAGAGAGCACAGCCTTCAGTGATAAGATCCGGATGATCGCCGTCGGAATCAGCTGTGGGACGATGCCACTTATGCCAGTATCCCTAACAACACGGAATGTGATATGCGTGATAGGAATAGGCCAATCGCCATGCACGTGGGCTTAGCTGGGGTAAGCAGAGATCACGTTCACGGTTGATGAAGACACCAACACTGTAGCTCCTCAGAGCTCAGACGAGGACACGCAGCGACACACAAACTCCAGCATTTTTTTAATGGAGGAAATATGCTCATTGCGACCGGAAACATGTTGATGTACTTTGCAAGATGATGTGAACATACTGAACTGAGTTTAGAACCGTCACAAGCTCATCTACATGTACTGAAGTACATCAAGAGAAACATGAAACCAGTACTCTTGTCCGCATCATTTCCTTTTCATCCTTGTCAATGCCTTCAAAGGACCAGGTGCCCGTAGTTGTCGTGGCTTTGTCTCTGAGTGCTCCGACCCCAAGAGTGCAGTACCAGTAGATCTATGCACTATTTGCCAGTAGATCTATACTATTAAATTTTCATGATCATGATTGTATTACTTCAATGCAGGTGGTGCCGGAGTGCTGCGGGCGTTAGCAACTAACTGAAGTTTCCTCTTGATGTCGTTGCTCCTGTCATAGTTCAGAAGATGTACATGTATGCCTTGCAAGCGCACTGCGGTACCGGCTGAAGCCAACATTGCAATGATAATAATTATTATTACAAACTAATACTTTCGTACAAAGCTAAAATGGTGTACATGTACATGTACATGATGCTACATGATGATGATGATGTAGTCTATCATGTAGATCTACCGGAGGAAATTACGTAACACTGGTCTTGGTTTGAGTGTACTACTTATAATTATACTACACAGGTACTAGGTAGGTCTACACCCACTAGCACAATGTCATACATTGTACTTGGCATGGGACTTGGAATCCGCTTGGGGAATTAAAGGGGATAATCCAAAACACTTTCTCGGCTCCAGCCAGGATCCCCAATCCATCTACAGACAGTGGGCAGCAGTAAAATAAGGTAAAGTTTGCACATCCGCGTTACAACCGGTAACCGGCTATACTCGTCGAGAAACACGACCAGCTAAAAAAAGAAGCTTAGGAAGTGCTTCGTAGTAGATCTATGTATAGGATATTGCACAGTTCCGAGGGGATTATTTTTCAAATCCCCAAGGCCTTTAGTTTAGGGGCCCGGTCACGAAAAAATCCGTGGTTTCCATGGATAGTTGCCGCTGAGCGGGAGATTTGCTCGAGGCCCCGCTTTTCCGCCGAAGATTATAATCATCCGCGGCTTCCACTGCGGGACCGGGGATTATTAAAAATAATCCTCGCGGACACTGTGCAATATCCACACTTTTCGGGTGATCAGCAGCGCAGCATAGCATGAATCAGTACATACCGGTATGTGCAGTGCGAACGGAACACTGAAGTACATGTAAGTAATAGTTAGTTCTGACATTCGCTCGTCGCCTCTCCGGGTTTAAATGTAAATCCACTTGTTGTTTTGACTGATGTGAGGCGAGTGCGGAATGTCACACACTTTCTTTGGTTTGTCTCCCAAGACGAAGCCTCATGAAGTCCGCTGCTTGTTGGTAGCTGACAAAACCGTGACTCGGAAAAGGCGGTGCTGATTGTGATCAAGTCAAGACGACGAAATAGTAGATATTGCAATCATTTGAAAATAATTTGAGGTGCTTTGTTCGTCTGACACCAACAAAATAATTATGCTGCGTGGAGGCGATTTATTCCCGGTACAAATCAAAGACTACAATGAAGAATTGTCAGACACTGACGTCCGTACTATGGCTTAGTCTAATGTTGTAGGAGTACCCGAAATAAGATGGATTGTTTGTGATCGTGTGGAACAAATTTGACAAGACCAGTAAAGCGTGAATACCACATGTAGAACCAATCACATTGAGTAAGTAGTAGGCTAACTGCTGCAACGGTTTGTCTTTCAGGTCTGTGAAAGAAGGAAATTTTCAAATGCTGTGCTAGAAACCAATTTTGCAGTGAACGGCGATGCTCATTACTACATGACATGTACAGATGTATGCGTCTTTGTCATTTCGTGCAATGTTTCTATGACAACTCGTAGTACAGTGTAGTATGCGATTGATTTCATGGGGTGAGTCAGCGGAATTTCTAATGGGCGATATAAAAGTAAAAAAGTTCTGCCTCCCCATCGCCTCTTTCCGCGCTTTCATGCTCACACCTGCCTGTTGCCCGCCACCCTCCTGGCACTTCTACTGTCGCGCCTTGGCCCGCGCCAGCTTTCTCCCCATACCTCACCAGATTTAGCGCGAAATTTGTTTATGCTTGTGGCCCTATGTGCTTATATAAGCATACTGTTGGGTAGACCCGAGTATCAGTTGTCTGATGATTGCCTAACGGCATGAAACTCAGAGTTACAACCAACCTGAACGTCCTCCGCTGAGTCTGCTATGTACTAAGCTCTGTCTCTGACATTGAGCACTCTCTGCAGCTCAGGGATCAACGGACTTGAAAGTAAAAAAAGTAAATAATCGTGTCCGTTCCCAAAGGGAACTCATGACGGTCACTAACACCCAGTAAACCCTAGCAGCAGATGCAGCGCCTAACGGCGGGGGTGAGTGGATAAGTCTCACAACCACTGGCACAAGTGCCGAGAACGACCCCATTAGCTGCATAATGGGCGATACCAAGAGTAAATAAAACTCCCTTATTATATAATTATACGCGTCGTGATATGTATGCACTATGCAGGGTGAGTTGCTTGTGCAAGGCTGTGGCGCAAGGCTGTGGCGCAAGGCCCACAACTAACTTGGCCAAGGCATGTCAACTGAGGATGCACGGGTAACTGTAGTTAGTTGTTACCTGGACAGTGCCTTCTCCTGCCGCACCACTACGTCAGTTCTGCTACGGAAATGTGTTTTAGCCATCAGTTCTACTACGCACACACACACACATACACACACACACCACATACACACACACACTGCACTGTACTTGCTCACTGCCAAAATTGGTCATGTGGGTCTCCCCCAGGAGAGGGGAGAGAGACTCAAAAGGACACACACATACATACATACATGCACACACACACACATGCACACACACACACACACACACACACACACACACACACACACACACACACACACACACACACACACACACACACATGCAAACACACACACACACACACACACAGGTGAAATCCAGATGGATCTAAGAATTGCACTCATACACACAGGTGCACGGGAAAAGACAATCTAAAAATATCTCGTATCTGACATACGAAAAATAAAGAAGCCGTAGCAACTTGCTGCAAGGTATGTCGCAACCACGTGGACCAACCATAAATTCTGCAATCAAACGGCAAATTGCATAATTGTTAAAGTTGTCACAGGAACGCGACTGCATTGTAATGGTATCACAATGTGTGTCAACCAGCTAATAAAGTTGCACGATAGTACTCTGGAGTAAGGAAAATACGCTACACACAACCAAAACAAGTGAACAGCGCAGAAGGAATAGCACCATCAAAAGGGACACTGAAAAACGTCAAGACGGGAACCAGAGAAAAGGATAAGCAAATTGAAAAGCAAACTAGCAAGGGTAGCAGCCAAGACAGAAAGGAGAAGTAACTAGTTACATAGATGTACAGAAGCCAGCACGCACATCACCACATCGAGAAGAGAAACTGACCATAAAACTGACCATAATTACACGGGGCAATTACCTGGAACCAGGCGGCGACAACCTGGGGCCAGCCAGGACAGAGCAGAAAGGCTCCCTGTACAAGTCTGGCTGAGCAGTGCAGTGTAGCGTACACGATGAGAGCGCACACCACTTGAGCGTGTGATCGTCCTCCTCGCCTCGGCTCTAGTTGTTGTTCTGGCTCTTCTCAAAGAACATGAAATCAATCAGGAACAGCGCTCCAAGCATGACACCCTTCATTTTCACGTCCAGATCCATTGGGAAGCTGATGCCGAAGTTGTCAGCGTCCGTGAACATTTCTTTCGCAAGACCGGACCACTGCTTCTGGATGAGGCCAACGTCCTGACCGTCGAGAGATCTCACTGGGTACTTGGGCGAGCATTCGCAGCATCCGATGCCGCAAATTGGCGTGTGAATACGCAGGACGTTCTGCTGGCTCGCGTCCTGGATCATGAAAGTCGGGTGCAGGCAGGCACAAGCCTCGGTCGATATGTAGCCGATGATGTTGCCTGGGGGGGCCTCCACCTCCATGTACGGACGCCAGCCGGCGCAACAGCAACTATGGCTGCAGCGAAGAGGTCGCTGCATGCACATCACCTCTTTGCCAGCGTTGTCGATGATGCTCATTTTGAATTCTCGGTTAGGGCCACAGCACTGGCGCTGGCAGCACTCGGACACCTCTGCAGCGAAGTACACTTGCTGACCAAGGGTGTTCTTCACCACGTATTTGTTTGCCTGCTCCCAACCAGTCAAGATTTCAAGAAGCTCGATTTTCTGATGAACAAGAAGCTGATCGATTTGCATCAAGTATTCGAGACCTGGAGGACAGTTGGCTGGTGCCTCGGGAGCTGGCATCCATTGAGCTTGTGACTGAGCCATGTTGAAGATCGGTTCACTACCGAACACTACAAGAAGAGAGCTCGAAACTGCTGCCAGCAAAGCAAATCAGACCTCCGACACGAACGCGTTGTAGATAACGGATTATAATATCTAGGGCCTGGGAGAAAATTTTGAGCGCAGGATTTTTGGCGCTGACACCTACTGTACCTGGAGTCTGGACACTACATGTACTGGCTGGTGCCACTACGCTGCCAGTAGATCTACTGGCACGGTGGCAGTGGCCCTTGTGAAGTAACAGTTGTGTACAGTCACGTAGATCTCTGACTCTGCATGGCCGAGCTGTGCAACGCCCCTAGTATAGCCCTGCGAGCTGCCTAGCCTAGCCTGCAGGCTCTCGGTCTCATGCAGGGTAGTCTGTGTGCACGTGTAGTGAAATCATAATGACCGACTGTCAACTCGTAGATGTACTGAGTCAGTACTGATGCATAGTAGGGTCATGTACTGATGTAGATCTACACCACTTCCCGGGACGGTCGACGGGCGGCGGGTCAGCTAATCCCAATGTTGAGTCTAGCGTATCGCGGACCTGCCACGCATATTATTCTGTACATCTAATCGTGACGTGCCTGATCTGTCTGAGCTGAGCTTGCCTTGGCGGCTTGTCCGCTTGAGCGCTCTCGAGCGCTGGTCCGCTGGACATCATTTCGACAGTCTGGTGGAGTGGTGGTGCAGCTGCACGGACTGCCTCTCTCCAAGACCCCATGGTGTCAGTGTCTGTGTACCATGCCCATGGTATACTGTCTGTACCTGTGAGCGTGAACAAAGACACACACACACCATGACCCATGTACACACACACACACACACCACACACACCATGACCCATGTACACACACACCATGACCCATGTACACACACACACACACACACACACACACACACACACACACACACACACACCACACCACACACACACACACACACACACACACACACATACACACCACACCACACACACACACACACACCTTTGACCTTTGACGCCCATCGCCGGAGGTGATGATAGCAATGCTACGGCAGAAGCCATAGCAACTTGTGCTGGGATTACACCATTCAACAGCTTGCAAGGCTGAAGAATTGACCGTCACTATTCAGCCTGGTCTACACCATACAGCTATTTGGAGTGACATTTTCTGGCCAGTGAATCCCTATTTTTGGTATTTTCATTTTTTTCTTTTTTTCCCCGCACACACATCACACCACATACTCTGGCATGCACTGGCTGTTGGTAACCACCCAGGAGAATGAAAGAAAAGTCAGGAAGAGTCTGAGGAAGAGAAGAAAGACGTGTGTGACCATAATCGTCGGGAATCGAACCCGCAATCTATCGATTGGAAATCGCTGCACATACCACTGCACCATATGGGACACACACACACACACACACACACACACACACACACACACACACACACACGCACGCACAAAGTACTGTTACTGGCACTGAGTCTACTGTCTACGTAGTACTGGCACTACTGCCAGTGCTGGTACAGTATGTCAGTATTGTCGAATCAACAAAGTGTGAACTGTGATACAGAATGTGGAGAACCATTCGAGGTAAAACGCCATTATGAGCTTGAATCAGGACATTGTAACAAGCCTCTCGTACGGGCTAAAATACCATCTTGATCAATTTAATAGAAATGCAACGAAAACCCCAAACAAGAAATGAAAAGAACTCAAAGCAAATGAAAAGAACCCAACACTGCGACAGGCCGAGATTGTGACTAGCACTAGCAGCAGGTTGCGAGTAATGGGCTATGAGTCTATGACCAGTAGCCAGTACTGCACTGTCTGCAGCGCTGCAGTAGGCATGGCGAGTAACAGTGACGTGCAAGTACAAGCATTAGCTGCATGCTGCGTAGACTCGGACAGATCTGGCTGGAAGTAACAGTTGGAGTCAGTGACTCAGTGGAGGCTGGACCACACGGATTTACACAGGTTATCATTATGTAGCCTGTAATTTGCTGTTTGCAATACAGTCAGATCTGCGGCCTGAGCAACATAGCTGAGGCATTTTTGGGCTTGGGACAGCTGGACAGGCTGGGTAAATATTTTGACACTCGCAGGCACCGTCCCCTTGCCGCAAGGATGCCATGATCTCATCCCAGGCTTGACGCCGCCCGTTCCAACATCATCCCGCCACCGTGGTCGTTGCGCATTCAGCCTTTCACTGTTTCAGGATTGGCGCTGCTCACGGCTGATTGATCGTCTCCGTTCTCCCAAGGCAAGGGTCCCCTAGTACTGTATAGTCCCTACGGTCACAGACATGTACAATAATGTCATTGTACATTGTACATTGTACATGTAGCACACAGAGTACCGTGCGTATCAACGGCGACTTGCTATGCGCCTTGCCTCCAGGTGGGACAAGTCCTACAGCAACGTCATGTCCTGGGTGCGGATCCACCATCAGTTTGCTGTTTTCCGGGCTGTCGACCTTCGTCTCCGGGGTTCACGTCGTCGTCTCGGTGGGCTGGCAATTTGCGATGGTGTCGGCCTTGGCGTTGGCCGTTAACATTCATGCGTATGGCACTGTTGTTGTTGTTGTGTGTGTGTGTGTGTGTGTGTGTGTGTGTGTGTGTGTGTGTGTGTGTGTGTGTGTGTGTGTGTGTGTGTGTGTTTGTTTTCTTTCCTTTTCTTTTCAGCTGTCATTTGCCCTGATCATGCCTCATGCGTGTTTCACAGCATAGTACGTTTCCGCTCATTTTCTTCTTCAACACACGCTAGCTGTATTACTTTGTTCTTGCCCGTACAAGAGGCTTTTCCGATTTTTATGTACATGTACATGTACACGTACGTGTACATGTACATGTACACGTACGTGTACATGTAATTAAAGTTAGTTGTTGGTGTTGTTGGTTTGACAGCATGAAAGGTGGAGGACACCGTGTTCGGCAAGGTTTATCATGACTGTACATGTAGCTGCAGTACATGACAGGTTGCATTCTCGAATCATCTTGCTCTGGTGCTCTCACGTTTGTGCAATTGTTGATTTTGCTCCTGAATTGTCCTCCCTGTTGCTTTGCTACCGTCCTCCTCCTTCCTCCACCTTTTTTTCTTAATTGGCCTCATTATGGCATTCGCTTCCATGTAATTGGGCTTGTAGCCCGTGTGTACTTGCGAATTCAAATAAAAATATACATACATACATACATCTTGATTCTTGTGGAGAAAAATCGTGTCGCGGACGTTTTTATTATGCTTCCCTGGCTGCTACTGAAGTACATTTAACTACTTTATTATATTACTACAATGTACTAGTGCAGTACGCCCATCTCAGATGCTGATGTTGCGCTGGTCGCAAGTAGAGTCTGCATGTGTCAGATCAACATGCTCACCCACAGAGCAGTAAGAGTGAGTAAAAACCAGGGAGTCGTAAAATGGTATTTTACGACTCCCTGGTAAAAACCGTTACCAAAACGGAAACCCTGACACCATCACCATCACCAAAGCACGTGGTATCGGCGCTGCATGTAACAGCTAGGAGTAGTTTCTATGATCTCAATCACATAATTATATATTCGGCCAGGGACCATCAACAGGATTGGGAAGCACGGTAAACCTACAGGGGAGAGAGTACAGTGCATCACCATACAACACTGGATGGAATGACACTATGCCATCAATGCATCATGTTATAAAAGCAGACCATCCCTGAGCGTTGAGGCACAGGCACAGGCATAGGTACACACACACACACACACACACACACACACACACACACACACACACACACACACACACACACACACACACACACACACACACCTCAGACCTCAGACCTGCCCATCGCGGAAGCGATGATAGCGAACAGCTATGTTAGACATAGCAACTTGTGCTGGGATTACACCATTCAACAGCTTGCAAGGCTGATGAATTGACCGCCACTATATTTTTCCTGGTATCCACCGCACAGCTGATTGAAGTGACTTTTTCTGGCCAGTGAATCCCTATTTTTCATTTTTCCATTTTTTTCTTTTTTTCTTTTCTACACACACACCACACCACATACTCCGGCATGCACTGGCTGTTGGTAACCACCCAGGAGAATGAAAGAAAAGTCAGGACGAGTTCGAGAAAGAGAAGAAAGACGTGTCCGACCATAATCGTCGGGAATTGAACCCGCAACCTCTCGATTGGAAATCGACTGCACATACCACTGCACCATATGGGACACACACACACACACACACACACACCTGGCCTGGTATACAGCTGCCAAATGCTTGGCCACGCCGCCCCGAGACAGGGGAGAGTAGAAGAAAGAGGTCGAGAGAAGTCAGCACTGCCACTAGGAAGCCGCTCCGCCACGACGTCATCCACGATTGCAATTGTGTCGCTGAAAGCCAGGAGCCAAAGCCACAGCGATCACAGGTAGCGCAGTGTTGGTTGCAACACGGATGGCTGGTGATTGGTATGCGCTGTGGTGTGGGCGGTGATGGTGTGGGCGTCGTGCACTTGTGCACAGCAAGACCACCGGCACTTCGGAACCATCGAAGGCAGGCATGGCATTGACGTGCGTCCGGCTGTTCCGCTACAGGCAGCTGGCGATCAGTAGAACATTTGTGTCGTCCGAGTCCAGATTTACTCTTGAATGTCCATTTACATACCAAGCAAGAGAGCGGTACCGGGGCCGGGGTAGGACGCTGTAACAGTATAGACTTGATTGATTGGAGAATTCCCCGAATGATGTTCAAACCAGAGGTTATAAAGCAAAAGAAAGGCGAGAACCGCAGGAGTGAGAATAGTAGGAACACAAGGTGTTACCATAAGACAAGCAAGAAGTGTCAAGGTAAAACTATTACACTCTCCCGGCCCCATAGGAAGCCCAAGGTTCTATTAGATAACACAATCCAGTTAGGAGATGCAATTGTGGAAAGGGGAATATTAAATAATCACTCATGCACATGCATAACCACATTGAAGTGTAATCCAACTCAACTCCATCACTCAGACAAGGAGATGACGCAAAACTATATCAGTCTATAACATATTAACTATCTCAGTAAGAGATGCATATGGCTCAGCCCAGTTAGATCAAGGCTGCTGTCGTTGTGAGGCTAGATAGTTCTGCAGCGGTTTAATATTCCGACCAGACTCATCACATAGGTTGCCAGC